AGGCCTTGTGGTTGTTTGTTTGTTTTTGTTTTAATGTGGTTTTTGTTCTTTGTTTCTTGATATTTTCAGTTCCGGGCCGGCCTGGAACTGAAAATCCACCTGTCTTTCAAGTGCTCGAAGTCCAGGCCTATACCACCACACCTGGTTAACATCTGCCCTAGATATCCGTGGAAAAGTGAGTTTGGAAATCATGTTTGTGTTAAGGCCTTTTTTCTCAGCCTGATCTCTTGCTTAGGAACTATCTGGCTTTCTGAACATGAAGAGGATACCTACCCTGTGGTGGTTTGAATGAGAATGACCCCCACAGGCTCATGTATTTGAATATTTGGTCCCTAGATAGGAAGGATTTGGAGATATGGCTTTGTTGGACAAGGTGTGTCACTGGGGTAGGCTTTTTCAAAAACCCATGCCATTCTTAGTGTCTACCTACCTCTCTGACTCCTGCTTGTGGATCAGAGTAAAGTTCTCAATTACTGCTCTAGTGCTTTGCCTACCTGCCTGACTGCCTGCCTGCTGTCATGTGTACTGCCGTGATGGTCATGGACTTGCTCTCTGAAACTGTAAGCTCCAATAAACTCTTCTATAAATTGCCTTAGTCATGGTGTCTGTTATAGCAAATGGAAAGTAATCAACCCACTCCCTTAAACAGAAGGTTGTCTAGCACACTCTTAGCACAGACTCACACATTCAACTTCTGGGTCTTTATCTCCCTCGTTTCAAGATGCCAATGACACCACAGCTCTCACCTCTCAGATGTCAAGTCTCTGAGCCTGTCAGAGCTGTTTGCTTTAAGACGAGCAGATTTATCCACTGTCACCTGACCCCTCCTCAGTCCACATTTCTACATTTTATTATCTCAAATGAATTTCTCTCTGAATCCCAGTTCTTTGGCAAGAAAAATCTTTTACCCCCAGGGAGAGGGAAGATTGAATTGCCAGGTGATTCTTCTACCAGGTGTCTTCTTGAGCCAGTCCCTTCCTCCCTGTGCTTTTCTGAGGCAGGTTGTTTTGTTGCTGTTTGGTTGAGCTCTGGTGACTGAACCTCGTGCATGCTGGGCAAATGTTCTACCTCTGAGAGCTATATCCCAAGCTCTTAAAAAGTTTTCTTTTGTTTGTTTAAAATTGTGAATCAATTTCCACCAAATTGCCCAGGCTGCCATTTAACTCTTAACCCCAGCAGGCCTGAATTTTTAATCCCCTTACTTCATCTTCCTGAGTAGGTGGGATTACAGGCTGGTGCCATCAGGGTCAGCTGAAGACATAGTTTTGATATTCAGCCCAGGCTAGTCTCATACTCCTAAACTCAAGGAATCCTCCAGCCTCAGCTCCCAGACTTATGCTTTCATCTTGTAATTTCTCAAGTCCATTTTGGCCAAAGTCTTTGGATTATACCAAACAAAGTAATTCAGCTTGAGTTGCATAACCCACTTATCTCATTCCAAAGGCCTAGACTTCCCCTGCCCAACACCACTCTTAGCTCTGACCAACACACAGTTGTAATTTTAACTCATCTTGGAAGCTCTGATTTTCAACTTCTAGAAGATGGACCACCCCTTATTTGGACTTCTCTCTCTAAATTAATAGAGATGAATCATTTTCTTGGTTAGAAAACATAAATCATAAGTCACAATGCAATACTTTCAGACTTTCTTTTGTTTTTACTCCTATTTATGACAACATGAGGCTGAGCCAGGATCAGGAGGTAGACAGCAGTCTAGGCTACTTAGTGAGACCTTCTCTCAAATAATCCACACCACTCGAATCCCATCGAAGTTCATCATATAATTGTCTAAACATTTTTATCAGCTATGCTAACTTCTACATTGAAGTAGTTTACCAAAGGCACTGTATAGATTAGGTGTGGGACTGTTTTGCTTACCCTGTCTTAACCTGGGCACACTGACATTTTAGGCTGGGTGATTTCTTGTGGGAAGCAACTGTCCTGTGCCTTTTAGGATGTTTTACAAAATCTTTTGCCTTCTGCCCGCTAGTTGCTAGTGTGACAAATGACAAGATAATCAAAATTACCTCCATCCATTTCTAATATAATATCTCCTGGGAGCAAAATTGAGAATAACTAATAAGTTAAAGTGTTGCATGAATCCTAATTGGTGTTGGAATAAAAACCTGGAGCCAGATATTGGGGTAAATACTGAAAGATCAGAGAGACAAAGGAACAAGCCACTAGAGAAACTTCTCACCATTCTCGAATCCTCAGGATGATAGAAAGGTGAGATCCTGCCTCCACAAATCCTCTGACTGAAAGCCTCTGAGTCCTCAGCTGCATGATGTCTAGTTCCTGTCTCCTCACACCTTGTATGCCTTTCTCTGCCCAGCCATTTCACTTCCTTCCTAGTGCTGGGATTAAAGGCATGTGACTCCCAAGTACTGGGATTAAAGGTGTGTGCTATCACTGCCTTGGCTCTGTTTCTCTCCTAGACTGAATCAATCTCATGCAGTCCAGGATGGCGTTGAACTCACAGAGATCCAGATGGATCTCTGCCTCCTGAGTGCTAGGATTAAAGGTGTGGCCACCACTGCCTGGCTTTTATGTTTAATCTAGTGACTGGCTCTGTCCTTTGATCCTCAGGCAAGCTTTATTTGATACACAATGTATCACCACAACAAAGTTCAGCCTCAATTCCATTCATGATTTCATTTGTTCTGAATGAAAATGCTGAGAAACATAAAAGTCCACGGGAACAGTGTTTTGCTAGAATAATATTGCTCATACTTTTGGGTTCCTCTGAGACCAATGCCAAAAATAATAATGGTTATTGTTCAGCCATTTGAGGTGCATTCCTGGTCTCAATATCTTTCAGATTGTCCCACTGTTTAGTGCCCCTGGTATATCCTGGGCCGTGCACTGTGAAAAGAGCTTGAAAATGGAAAAAGGAAAGACCTCCTGTCAAAGGAAGTGAGTAGAGGAACTGTAATCTAAACCACTAGCCCTTTCTCAGTTGGAAGCTATATGGCCATTTAGACTCTGGAAAGATGGAGTGAACTGGCTACTGGTGTCTCTAAAACTCCCAGGGTAATTCTAAAGTATAGCAGGACAAGAGCCACAGTCTAAAACCTGTTACAGTAGAGATTTTCCAGATATATTCCACAAAAATCATATGCAATTATCTCTGCTGGAACCACGGGGAACTGGTTTCAGGTGTTCCTTGAGGACATCAGAATCCATTGATACTTTCTTATTTTGGTTTTTCGAGACAGGGTTTCTGTGCAGCTTTTGGAGCCAGTCCTGAAACTTGTACTGTAGACCAGGCTGGCCTTGAACTCACAGAGATTCACCCGCCTCTGCCTCCTAGTGCTGAGATTAAAGGTATGCATCACTACCACCTGGCCAAAGAGAACTCAAAAATTGTGATAAGGACACTGAAGTGTAGCTCTCCATAATTGATGGCTTCTGGGGTGGGAGGTGCACATGGAGAAGGACTCAGCTTTCCTTATAGGGCTGACCACTGGGAGTCTGACCATGCTCCAGTGGGCAACACAAATTGGACTTGTTTCTTCTTCTTCTTCTTCTTCTTCTTCTTCTTCTTCTTCTTCTTCTTCTTCTTCTTCTTCTTCTTCTTCTTCTTCTTCTTCTTCTTCTTTCTTCCCCTTCCCCTTCCCCTTCCCCTTCCCCTTCCCCTTCTCCTTCTTCTTTTGGTGTGTGGGATTCACAAGGGGTAGACCTGGGAGGACTGAGAAGTGATTGTGCTCGGGGTTCATGATGTGAAATTCCCAAATAATCAATAAAAATATTATGAAAAATAAAAAAAAGAAGGGTCTCTGGTAATTAATAAAATTTTCTGTTGTAGTAAGAAAACAAGCACAGGCAATAAGAAAAATAATGAGGAACTGGAGAGATAGCTCAGCAGTTCCGAACATTGGCAGCTCCTCCCGAGGTCCTGAGTTCAATTCTCAGCAACCACACGGTGGTACACAACTATCTATAGTGGGATCTGATGCCCTCTTCTGGCATGCAGGTATACATGTAGATAGAGCACTGTATACATAAAATAAATCTTTAAAAAAAGGAAAAGAGCCGGGCGGTGGTGGCGCACGCCTTTAATCCCAGCACTCGGAAGGCAGAGGCAGGCGGATCTCTGTGAGTTCGAGGCCAGCCTGGTCTACAGCGCGAGATCCAGGAAAGGCGCAAAGCTACACAGAGAAACCCTGTCTCGAAAAAAAACCAAAAAAAAAAAAAAGGAAAAGAATGAGCATGTTGTGTTCTAAAACTTTATGAATACTGAAATTTGAATTTCATATAATTTTTGCATGTTACAGAAAGACATTCATCTTTTGATCCCCCCCCCCCGCCCCCATCAGTTTAAAAAAGAAGGACATCTGTTTTGAGTTTGCTTCCAGTTGGATTAAAACAGTGGCAGGGTTAGCTGGAGTGGTCCCAGAGGCAGCTTTAAGGGGATGGGTTTCAAGCTCAGTAGCTTGGTCATTCTCTAAGTGTGAGAGCCAGGGAGTGTGTTTATGCAAAAGGTACGTACGCAGTTGAAGAGTGTCATACGTGTATTACAGGTAGCAAACTATTTCCTAATGGACTGGGAGGTATCTCTGGCCCTGGGCCCTGGCTGGCTGTAGTTATGCATTTTTTTTTCTTTATCTCTCATCTATTCCCCGCCCCCAACCCCCATTTCTTTTTTGAGACAGGATCTCACTATGCAGCCATGTCTAATTTTCAATCCTCCTGCCTCAGCCTCCTAAGTGCTAGAATGAAAGAGCCGGCTTTGGCTTTCAAATCTTGCAGGGTGTCTCATCTCTGCCTTGTTCATCTCCGTTTGGCTCCTTCGCCCGCTGTAGCCACTAGGGGTGCCAGAGTGGGAGAACGCTCCCAGGAGCCTGGGGACCAATCAGATCGGCGCTAGGCCCGGAGCCCAGCGACTGACCTCGCGTCCTCCCTTGGCAGCCAATCACAGGTCGCCGTGGGCGAGTGTGCGAGCCAGGCGAAGCGGCCTGGGCTTTGCGGGCGGTGCGGCGGACCCGGCAGGTCGGGGTGCGGGGCTTCCCGCGCAGCGCCTCGCGGGCCAAGGCGTTCCGGGGGGCTCAGGTATGCGGGGGAGGTCAGGGCAGGGGTGTGGTCCTGCTGATCTCTGCGGGGGCGACCGGCAGGGACCGGCCACCAGATCCCGGGGTGGGAGGACGGGTGAGGGCCTTCTGCCGAGTCCAGCGGGAAGGAAGCGCCGGTAGGCCGGGCTCTGGGGATCCCGCCTGGTAGCCCCCGGCATACACGTGCGTTCCCCCTCCTACGGCCTCCCCCGACCCCCATCCGAGGGCTGGGCCTGCTCCCCCTAAATGCCGTCCCCATCGCTGAGGGCCCTGGTGGCGCTTACGGTACCTAAAGTCCTGAAGCCTGGAGACCTGCTACAGGGCGCGGTGGCGCCCGCCTGTAATCCCGGCCACTAGGGAGGCGGTGGAAGGACCACTTAGTGAGACCTATTCACAAAACAAAGTGTAAGCCAGTTTTGTAAATTGAGCCCCACTCCCAATTTGGAGATCCACAGGCCCTTCCTTGAACTCCAGGGCAGCTCTCGGGGCTCCTAATCTATTCTCCTAGATAGCTAATTTTGATTTGAGCAGGGCTCAAATGAGATTTTTTTTGTTTATGGAGGTATGGTATTTTGGATGGTAGCCTGTAAGATGCTTGTAAAAAAAAACCAACAAAAAAAACCATCCAGGGGTGGGGGTGGGGTAGCTTAGTTGCTAGAGCGCTTGCCTAGGATGGACAAAGCCCTGGGCTCGATTCCCACCCAGTACTTGACAAAGTGGTTGTGATGGGCTCACCCAGTACTTAGCAAGTGGAGCCAGGAGGATCAGACATGTTTTGTATCAAAGCAAACAAAAGGAAACAGAAAATAAATACATAAACAATTGGTAGGTAGCGGAGTAAAATCTTTTAACATATAAAATGTATCTTTTTTTTGTTTGTTTTTCTGATTACCTCAGGCATGTGACTTTCACCCTTTGGACTCTCTCAAGGTATTAAAAGTTACAGTGTGTATCTGAGGTAAGAAGGGTCTTTTCTCTTTCGTGTTCTGTCTCCTAGTCGCCCCTTTGATAAAAGAAAACATGACCGCCAGGTCGTACAAGCCTTTAATCCCAGCACTCGGGAGGCAGAGGCAGGCGGATCTCTCTCTGAGTTTGAAGACAGCCAGCACTATATAGTGAGACCCTGTCTCAAAAAACAAACAAATTATTGTTTGGAATTTCCTGAGGGAATTTGAGTGGGTCTGATAAATTGAGGCCAAGTATTTGATGTCAATAATTCTGGAACCTTCTAAGTTGCGTCCTCAAACAGGAAGAAGTGGCAGACGTGCTCCTTTCACCCGAAATCCTGAAAAAGAAAAAGAAAGTAAACACTATGGCTGCTCTGTGAAGCGACTGGTTTTTATCATAGTAGGAGGCAAAGTGAGTTGTTACAGATAGTTTAAGATTCAGCTAATGCAGTAAAATGTTAAATTGGATTAGTCTCTACCCTGGTTTTTTGAGAAAGGGTCTCACATATCCTAGACCGGTTTATGTAGCTGAGAATTACCTTCAGCTCCTGATTTTAGTCTTCCCTTCCCAAGGGCTGTGGTTATAGGTATGCACAAGCCTGACTTCTGGATTTTTTTTTTTGAGGGCCCCCCCTCCCCCCAGGAATTCTAAGGCATCAATATTACCTTAGGGTCAGTTTGATATATCAAGAAATAATAGCAGGAAGCAAAGTGGCTCGCTTTTAAATTTATTTCTGCAATATTTCTTTTTTAAAATAATTTTTTATTTTTTGAGATTACAATATAATTATGTCATTTCCTCCTTCTCCCTCTCTCCAAGTCCTCCCCTGTACCTCCCTTGCTCTCTTTCAAAATTCATGATCTCTTTTTGTTGTTTCATATATGTATATATTACACACACACACACACACACACACACACACACACACAGACACACCTAAATATATAAATACAACCTGCTTAGTCTGTGTAATGCTACATATATGTATGTTTTCAGGTCTGACAACTTGGTGTTCTTCTCTGCGGAAGATTTCTCTCTTTCTCAGTATTCTTTAGTTGACTGTAGTTCTTTGTGTAGGTTTAATGCCTCAAGGAGCTTTCCCTCTTTTTTTTTTTTCAGTATGTCTTTTAGTGTTGTCCTTGTTGAAATCATGTTGAAGTGGTTAGGGAGCCATATTGGTGAGACTTCATGGATGTTTGAGTAATATTGCCATTAATTCTTTGAAAGTCTGGTTAAAAAAAAAAGAAAGAAAAGAAAAGAAAAGAAAGTCTGGTAGAGGTCTTCATTGAACCGTTCTAGGCCTGGACTTTTTTTTTTTTTTTTTTTTTTTGACTGGGAGACTTTTAGTTTCTATTTATTTCTCTGGGGTTAATCATCTATGTACAAGATTTTCTTTTCTTTCTTTTTTTTTTGGTTTTTCAAGACGGTTTCTGTATCGCTTTGTGTCTTTACTGAAACTCACTCTGTAGCCCAGGCTGGCCTGGAACTCACAGAGATCTGCCTGCCTCTGCCTCCGGAGTGTGGGGATTAAAGGCATTCGCCACCACTGACCGGTTTACAGTATACAGTATTTTCCTTTCTTTTTTTTTTCTTTTTTTTTTTTTTTTTTTAAATGTATACAGTATTGTTCTGCCTGCATGCCTGAAGAGGGCACCAGCATGTGGTAGCTGGGAGTTGAACTCAGGATCTCTGGAAGAGCAGCCAGTGCTCTTAACCTCTGAGCCATCTCTCCAGCCCCTGGCTTACAGTATTTTCCTTATCCATTTATCACTTGAAGGACATGGCTGAGCAAGTTTCTGTGAAGTAGGCTGTCCTTTGGACATAGGCCAAAGAGTGGTATATCTGGGTCATATGGTAGATTTATTCTTAGCTTTTTGAGAATTCTCCACATTGATTTCCAGAGTGGCTCAGTTAGTTTCCAGTCCCACCAACAGTGAATGAGGGTTCCCTTTTCCCCACATGCTCTCCAGAAGGTGTTGTTGGCTCTTTGGTGATCTTTACCATTCTGACTGGGATAAAACGAAATTCCACAGTTGTTTTTGTTTGCAGTTTCCTAGTAACTAGGGACAGTGAACATTTTTCTTTTTTTGGAGACATTTCTTAGCTGTTTGCATTTTGTCGAGAATGCTGTGTTCAGGTCCTAAGCCCATTTTTTGAATGGTTTATTTATTTTTGACTTAATGCTTTTTGAGTTCTTTATATATTCTGAATGAGTCCTCTGTCAGATGTATAGCAAAGATTCTGCCCCATTGTGTGGGCTTCTTCTTCATCTGATTGTTTCTTTAGCTGTGCAAAAGCTTCTTAGTTTTCCCACTTGTCAATTATTGGCTTTATTCTGGAATGTCCTTTCCGACACCTGGATCATGTAGGTTACTGCCTGTTTTTTCCTAGTGGTTACAGTGTTTCATATTTAGAGCTTTGTCTATTTGAAGTCCACAGGAGTTAGTTTTTGTGGGGGGCGGGGTTTAGATATGGATCTAATTTCATTCTTTGCCTGTGGATATCCAATTTCCCAAGCACCATTTGTTCAAGTTGCTTACTTTTCTTCAGCTTATGTTTTTGTCAGATATTAAGTGGCTGAAGTTACATATACTCATTTGGATATTCAATTTTGTTCCACTGGTCTGTGTATCTGTTTTTGTGCCAATACCATATTGTTTTCATTGATTGCTATGGCTCTGTAATTTTTTTTTTTTTTTTTTTGAGACAGGGTCTCTATATAGTCCTGGCTGTCCTAGAACTCCTAGGATAGGCTCACAGAGATCCGCCTGCCTCTGCCTCCTGAGTGCTGGGATTAAAGGCATGCGCTGCCATGCCTGACATGTGATATTTCTTAAGATCCTGTATTGTAATCTCTCCAGCACTGTTCTTTTTATTCAGGATTGTTTTGGCTATCTGGTGTCTTTTGTGGTTCCATATTAATTTTAGAATAGTTTTTCTATTTTTGTGAAGAATGAAATGGGAATTTTGAGATTGCATTGACTCTGTAAATGGCTTTGGTAGAATAGTCATTTTCAGGATATTAATTCTAAATTGTTAATCCATGAACATGGGATGGGATGTTTGTCCATTCTGTTTTCTAGCGTTCTTATCTCATTTTTCAGAGGTTTAAATTTTCCATTGCATGTGTCTTTCATTTCCTTGTTTAGGTTTATTCCTAGGTATTTTATTTTCTTTGAGCCTATCATTGTTGGGAGTGTACCCATGATGTGACAGGGCAGGACAGTGCAGAGGTTCCTTCATCTTGTGTTCTTGCTGAGGCCACTTTAGATTTGACTAGAATTTGATCTCCCCAATGGAAAGCCTTGTGTAAAATTATCCAACTCTGTTCTAGGAAGCCAAGGTCAAGATGCCCCAGCTAATTTACCTTGACTTCTGTTAAACTGCCTGCTTGTATAAAATCTCCCCTTTAGCTACTTGCCTTAGCTTTTGTTAAATGCTTGCTTGCACAAAACCTCCCCCTGCAGCTGTGGACAGATAACAGAATATTGTTTTTTGCCTTTAAAAGCCCCTTACTCTAAAAGTTCAGTGCTCTACTTGAGTCCCAAATACATGAGTGCAGTCCCAGCTGGCAGGAATAAAGACTTTCAATTGGCTATAAACTGTGTTTGAGTGGTCCTCTGTGGTGGGCTCCCTGTAACAATCTCCTCTCTGTTTGTTGCTGGTTATTAAAAAAGTATTGATTTTTAGCCATGTGGTGGCGGCACACGCCTTTAATCCCAGCACTTGGGAGGCAGAGGCATGCGAATGGATCTCTTTGAGTTTGAGGCTAGCCTAGTCTACAGAACAAGATCCAGGACAGGCACCAAAGCTACACAGAGAAACCCTGTCTGGAAAAACAACAACAAAAAAAAGTATTGATTTTTTTTTTCTTTACAAGTTAATTCTGCATCTTGTCACCGTGCTGAAATTGTTTATTGCTTCTAGCGTTTTCTAGAATTTTTGGGACTTTTTATGTGTAATATTATGTTATCTACTAATAACAATTGTTTAACTGCAGGGCGTTTACCCGCCAACCCCACAGTTCCCCAGAGTTTTCTTAAGTGAGAGCAGCAGGAAATATTAGATAGCTAAGGATTTAGATTGTGGAGATAAATAGATAGAAAATACAGGATAGCCTTGAGAGGGCCTAGTACCTATTCCAATGGGCCCTGACTGTCTCTGCCCCAGGGTATTTATAGAAATGACAAGGGGTGGAGCAAAAGATCTCCCCCCAGCACAGCCAAGTGCACTCAGGCCCATGGCCCAGTCATCCTCTCTATGTAGACCTGCTGGGTAAAACCACTAGGAACCTGAAAATGGGCTTCCACAGGTCCCCCTCTCTTAATATATAAAAAATAATTCATTATTAAGAGCTCACAGCAATCTCCATAGCTGTTACATCTCCCAGTATGGAAGAAGAGGATGATAAAGATGGCATTTCTTTTTTGGATTGTGTCCAAGGTGACCACAGCAGTCTTTAGCTGCGTCCAGCCCTTCCTAAACCAAAAAACTCTTAATGCAATTTCAAACCTAAAGAATCCCTTAGCTTCATCATTCCCATTAACAGGATAACATAAAGATTGCTGTACATAGTCACAATTCTCTCAATCTTACATCTCAAAGCAAACTCTTAACAGAACCATTTGAATTAACATAAATAGTGCTATATGTAGTTAACAATTTTCTCACTCTTACAACTTTAACTCTTAGTGGAACCATTTGAATTTTCTTGCTAACAACATAGGAAAAACTTCTGATGTATTCACATCAAACTTAAATATTTCCTCAACTTCACAAAACCAGGCTGCATTAATATCAATAGGTTAACAATTTCTGCAAACATACATTTAACTTTAATTCACTCATAACCCCTCCTTTTCTTTATAATTTTTTAAACAAAATCTCAAACCTAATTAGAAAAACCCAAACTTACACAATTCCTACAAATCCATATTGAAAAGCAATGTTCTCAGTCTAATCATTAGCACTTAGAAAACTTTTAGTAAAACATTCAAAAGCAATTTTTTA